AAGTATTTAGTGAGTTCACAAATTAAACTTGAGCCTCAGCTCTCTGAGCTAAGATCACGTGTAAGAACCATGTGTTCATAACTGTGTTTTCTGTTAAGAAACATGTCGACTATATTCATGAAAAACTTCTAGCCTTACCTGGAATGTCCCTAGTGTTGTGAAGTGCGTATTCCATCTGAACAAGTTATTTAAATACGAGATTGAATAAAACTTTCAAGTCGTATTTCTTTACAACAATACCAAATGATATCACTTCCAGTCACTTTAACGAAGACTTTAGAATGATCATCCTAGTCAGTTTCTTCAACTGTGACGTAGGATATTTTCTGTCTAAATATTAGTGTTATGGGCGAGTGGAAAGTGACCGCGTGCTTTCCTAGACAGTTATGTTTATCCTCTGCACTTGTGTATCCCATTAACGTTATAGCGGAACTTCAAAATCACTTCTCATTACTCACATCCGAATCTCCTCAAGTTCAGACTGATGATCTGTACCAGTAATAATATTTATTTAAATTATCCATAAAATAGTATAGACAACTACTTAGACTATTTATGTCAGTAAATTAGCACAAAAGTTTTTCGATTAGTTAGACCAATTCACAGTTAATATCGTCCATTATTTATAACATGCGAGTACATAGAATATTAGACTCATAATCCCGTCCGAGGTGCATCAGATGTGAAAATTTCTCAACTATAATAATAAGCAATATCAAGATAGTGGGTCAGTCAGTCAGTCAGTTGCAACGTAGAAATTCGTACGTAAGTACATCAGTTCATGTCGCCATACCACATCAGCACAGAGATATAATTGTCAATTCAAATCCAATAGTAGAAGAGGTAGTAAATGTATTAGAAGTAATCGGAGAGGTTACAATTAGAAGATATTATTCACGAAGTATGATTCAATGAGATAAGTTTAGAAAGTAAAAACTTGAGGTGTTGAAGAATCCAGAAGATTAGTAGGATTTGAGAGAACACAAAGAATAAATGAACCGGCGCCATTGCGAACGATTTTGAGCCATGTCATTCAAGGTCTCTAGCCATCGATTATTATCATCTCGCGGACCCCAACCAGGTAGTCGACAATTACCGACATGAATCAGTCCACTCGTCAATGACTTCATGGATTTATGCCATGTTTTGGTCTGGCCGCCCCTAGCTTTCTTCCAACCTATTCCTACACCACTAAACAAAGCTCGACGAGGCAGTCGGTGGTTATTCATACGCAGCACGTGTCCCAACCACCTCAACTGATGAAGTTTCACCACTTCATCGATTGATCTGCCATTCTTACCTAGTACCCGTTTCCTAATAACAGCGTTGCTCACTCGGGTGTCCTACGATATACGAGCAATGCTTCGAAGACACCTATGATCGAAAACCAATAACCGACGAGTATCTTCTACTCTCATTGGCCATGTTTCACAGCCATAAAGTAAGACGGAGCGAACCACTGCGCAGTACACTCGTCCTTTAGTCAGCAAACGGATATCTCGCCTACGCCATAAGTGACGCAGTTTGGCAAAAGCCAATCGAGCCTTCTGTATCCGTGCTGAGATTTCGTCAGTCACCAGGCCATCAGCACTGATGAGACTCCCCAGATAAGTGAAGCGGTCTACACGTTCGACCACTTCACTCCCTATCACTAGTTCAGGTGCCGATGAAACCCAATCTTGAAGCAACATTTTGCATTTCGAGGGGGAAAACTGCATCCCGAACATGCTTGCATTGTTGCTTAGGGTAGTCAGAAGACTCTGCAATTTGTCAGCGTCTTCACCAAGTAGGACAATGTCATCAGCATATTCTAAGTCAATAAGCGAGCCACCTGGTAGAATGTCTACTCCAGAAAATTCAGACGAGGATAAGGTCATTTCTAGGAGCATGTCTATGATAAAATTAAACAAAAATGGAGAAAGTGGACATCCCTGACGGACACCACTTGATGTAGAGAATTCCAGTGACAGTTCGCCATAAGCTCTCACTCGACCAGTGGTGTTCGAGTAGAGAGCTTGTATGAGGTTAAGGTACTTATTTGGTACACCGTTCAATGACAGACACTGCCACAGAACCTCACGATCCACTGAGTCAAATGCCGCCTTAAGGTCCGGGAAAACAACTATTGTAGGACGCCTAAATGTGTGTCTGTGTTCCAGGACCTGTCGTAATGTGAAGACGTGGTCTATACAGCCACGTCCAGGTCGAAAACCAGCCTGGTTTTCTCTAGTCTGCTCTTCACGAGCTTTCGTTAAGCGTCGAAGTATTACTGAGGCCAATATTTTAGATACTATATTAGTTAGACTTATTCCTCTGTGATCGTCACAAGAAGACTTCTGTCCTTTCTTATAGATTGGGACCAGTCGGATGGGATTGCGTCCAGTTCCCAGATTCTACCTAAGATCTCAGTCAATCTAGCTGCTAAAACTGGACCACCATCCTTAAATATCTCAGGGGTCAGTCTATCAGGACCTGCAGCCCGTCCTCGTTTCAGATTTCCTAACGCTTTTTCAACTTCATTAAGACTAGGGGGACTTACGTCGATTTGCCATTCAGGATGACTGGAGATCGTGGGTAACTGAAGAGTGGCTCGAGGCCAGTTGAACTGATCCCTAAAGTGTTCTGCCCATCGATCCAGTCTCCTGGATTGAGAACAAATAATAGTCCCGTCATTTTCTGAGATAGTCTCATTTACACTAGGATTCCTAATACCAGTTTCCTTGATAAGTCGGAAAAGTTGTCTACTGTTGCCGATCGCCGCTGCCTTTTCCATCGCTTTTGCTTTCGCCACCCACCACTGTTCGCGATCGTTACGTAGGCTTTTTATAAGTATGCGCCTAAGTTGACTTCGTTCTTCATCATGTTCAGAGCCAGGTGGGATGAGTTTTCGGGCATCCATCAGATCGGTGGATGCTACTGAGATCCACGGTTTCATTCTAGCCTTATGGTCAACCTTACTAGCAGATATCACTGCTGTTTCCACAGCCTTTTTAATATCATTCCATCCTGCTTCCGGATGGGAATCGCTTAAATGGTCGCCTGTCTTTCTAGTTGTTCCTGAAATATATTTTTCGCCTTATTATCATTAAGTAAAACCCTAAGAGGCTTTCTTACGGTGTCTTTCCTACGCCCAGTAAGCTTCAAACAAATACGCGCTCGCACTAGGGCATGATCTGAATCTAGACATGTGCCCCAGAACGAGCGACAGTCCTCTATCGAACCCCTCCATCGGTGGCTGATGGCGATGTGATCTAGTTGAGTCCAACGTTGAGACAACTTTGGAGGTCGCCAGGTCAACAGATGCTTTTCCTTATGCCTAAAGTTAGTGTTTGCTAAGAATAGGCGGTTGTCTGAGCATGCTTGCAACAGACGGTCACCATTGTCTGTTCTCTGAGCCGCGACACCATAACATCCACCTAGGTGTCTCTCCTGCTCACTTAGTCTACCTACTTGAGCATTAAAGTCACCAGCCATTATTACTATATCAGAGCGCCTAGCTTTTTGGAGGAGGTCCGAAAGCTTTCTGTAAAACTCATCCTTAACCTCGTCTGAACTGCATTCAGTGGGGGCATAGGCAGATACGACGAAGAGGCAACGGCGATTATCCCTATCTTTCCGAGTCCTTACTGTCCCGTTTAGTCGGACAGCGCACAATCGATTATCTATTGGGATCCAGTCAACGAGAGATTGTTCTGCCCTACGACTCAATGCTATGCCTACGCCAGCAAGACCCCGGGAAGCAGCATCAGGGCTACCGGATACACGAAGAGTAAATCGAGCTGCTTCTTTATTTTGACATGGTGTGGCCAAGTGTATGACGTGACTCGGATCCTGTATGCACGTTTCCGAGACGCAGCATACATCGATGGCACGAGATTCTAAAGTCCTAGCTAAGGAAGCCTGTTGCCCTATTTGACACAATGTCCGTACATTAAATGCTCCAACATGTAGTCGAGAGCGAGGTTTAAGGAGACCAGGAACGACGTTTCACGAACTCGTATCGTCTGCATTAGCTGTGCATTGTGATGAATGAATGTGAGAAGAGTTAGTCGTGGAGATAAGAGAGGTACTAGGGGGTGTAGGAAGGATTTGATTTTGACCAATTCGGTCTCGCGTGCTGTTACGGGTATGAGGGCGGTTATCACTTCCCGGCTGCCCACACCGTGGAAGGTTGTTTCTTGAGGAACCTGAAAAGGAAGATAGATTAGTGTTGGTGCGTGACCGCAGAGCCCAAGGGACAACTGCTTGAGGCCGGTCACGCACGGCCTTTTTAAGAAATGTTTTTTGAGGATTAGCTCCGTTCTTAAAGGCCCTTAGTGGGCACCCTTACCCAAGGAGACGGAAATCCGTGAGTTAGGGGTGTGACATTTTTAGGGTCGACCTTTTCTAACCCTTCCTTCCTTGTGATAAGGCAACATCGCTGCAGATGCTGGTTGTCCGAGGGAAACACCTCACTGCTGTCACACCCCTCTGCAGTCAGCAGTACGACTTTGCCCTCAGACCTTGGGTAGCTGCTTTTAGTCTCATCGTTTTCCAATCGACCTGTCTGGCATGGTAGAACCTTGAGGAACATATGTTCCAGCCAGTATAGCTCGGTTGGGTCATCACGATAGGCAAGCCCGACCACCACGTCAAGGTAGCAGCTACGGTCGGGCAAGATAGTGGGTAATAAAACAAATCGACTTCGAGCCAAATCACTGGAAGCCAAGCAGCACCAGACAGCTGTTTTGACCTCGTATACAGCTTCTTAGTGGTGCGGCTATGTTCTAACAAAATAATCAATGTAGGATCTACACACGACGCAAATCACGCAGACTGATAGCTACCTGGAATCTAATCACAAAAATGCCGCCAACCATTCACTAAGCACTTATAGTAAGTTGTAAATGCGCTTGAACTAGGTTTGGTTTTTTCACAATACGTGAATCTTAATGAGCCTTTATTGTTGAAAAGTGAACCTTGACGTCATATGTCAACGCACAGAAAAAAAAAACTAACTTCAGAGTTACGTACGATTACACATGTATTTAAGAATCAACCATTCAGTGAAATCAGTTACAAGCATTTGGCAAACAACTTCCAACATAGTCTTTTGTATTTACTGACAGATAAACAATTTAATTATTAATGTACTAGTCGTGAGGAAAAATGTTTAGAAAGTATGAGCAAAGCAAAATTGGAGAAATGGCAGAAATGGATGCACAACCGCCCGAAAAGACAAAATATGAAATGAAAGGTTTAAAAAAAAAAAGATAATGCTTGGGAACAAAATAGAAGATATATACAGACAGGCAGCAATAAGAATAGAGAATAGTAACCATTTCGTTGAACACACAAAAATCTTAGGGGCAGAGAAGGTAGAGAAAGACAAGGTATAAGCCAAAAATAGATAAACTCAATATAAAAAAAAAGCTTAAGTAAAACGACTAAAATTGGAAAATAGAATGAAACCAAACAATACTATTATAAGATCACAGACATGCCACAAAAATTTGGAAATTCAAAATCAAATATAACTCGGAAGACCAAAAAAGAAGGTGGTGCAACGAACAAAAATACACAGAGAAGGCAAATACATACAGAGGTATCGAAAGACGAAGGCAAAATATATTAAGTTACACAGTCACACCAGGAAAAATTGAGAATCTGATTGATGAAAAATAAAAAAAAAAATTGAAGGCTAGACTTAGACTGACTGAAAGGTTAGCTTAACCATTCGCTACAATGATATTGAGCTAACCCAAAATGAAAAAAAAACTGGGAAGACGTGCTAACATAAACAAAAAAAAAGCAAGTGAAATAAAATCAAACATTCGTGAATGAATGAATAAATAAATAAATAGGAGTAGGCAAACAGCCAAGGCAATCATAAAGTTTTATACAGACATACAAAAATGAATCTATAAGGGAAATCCTGAAGAATTAACAATGTAACAGATAGGGGGACCTTGGAGCAAAATCTTAGATGGATAAAATGTTGAAAAAAACGAATGCGCTCACAAAATAGGAAGGTTATTTTTATGGTCAAGAACTAAGAGGAATGGAACAGTAGAGGCCACAACCGCATAGACGGCTTTTACTAAATGCAAAACAGAAGAGGGCGGTTGTTAGATCATTCCACTAGGCTGGCTATCAAGGATAAGAATTTATGAAAATATGCATGTACGATCTGTAACAGGTCCTACATAATGACGATAAGGTAATTAACTAAAAATCGAAACCTCTAGTTGCATCAGAGTTACACTGATCAGCATCAAACTGGAAAGTAGTTGGAACTTGTGGTACCGATATAAAATCACCCAAATGTTCATCTTCAGCAACGCCAGTTGTATTTGGATCGTCAATCATCTGTAAACGGTAAAAATTCAATAATTACAACAAAAGATTGAAATTAGTGACTTAGATACAGATTGTTACACAAAGCTCTAAATTATCTATTGGAAACAAACATCACAACTATTCCAACCAAAAAATTAAAAAATCATACCAGTTACATGAGATCACTTCTAACAATTCTGATGTTTTGTTAATATTAGCTTGAAGGTGTTCAGGAGTAAAATGGATTTTATCAACACTTTTTAAAGTTTTGGAACAAGGCCGTTACCAAATGACATGTACAAAATCACATTATGCAGTCAACTGTAGTCAACGAGCCAACGTCAGTAAATCGAACTTTATGGATGCCCGGTTTTTCTACGTTGCGATGAGACTGGATTATTTGCGTAATTACCTACAACTACTAGTTTTTCATTACACTACATTATCTTTGGATGTTTTTAGATTAATCAGATTACAACAAGGTTCAATTACAAATAATTTTACATCTTGTTCAAACACAAATCACTGAAATATTCATCCTTCAAATAAAACTTACCCCTTCGTTGAAATATCGTTCGATTATGTCATACGCCAAACGATATATATCGATATTTGTATGTTCTTGAAGTGCTTCGATGAGATCCAACCCACCGCATTCTTCGATTGCAGTTGTAACTTGTTCTAAATTATCACCGGCTGCTGCCAATATATTTGATATTCCATCTAAAACAACTTGCGCAACCTGAACATCTCTGGTACTTAACATTTTACAGAGTGGAGGAATGACGCGTTGGTCGATGACGTATCTCACCTTGAGAAAAGAAAGTAATTACACAAGATAATAAACAAAAAACAGGATACATTTAGTGCTTTTTGTGTAAAATTTGTTACCACGGTGATAACGACCTAAATACATCCTACTACTTACCCTTTTCAGTATGTTCTGAAACCTCAGTCGAGTGGGATCGAATATGGAATAATATAACTAGAGTACGGGTACCTTACAAACTGATTATTTGAAAACCTGTCTCGGTTTGGTCACTTGGAGTAGTAACCTCGTTACACACATTCAGTGAGTGACGCATATGTTGGTGACTCTGTACCAAGCTAGTCTGGTTAAATAAAGCGAAAACCCATAGACTAACAGCGTTAATGAGGTGCTTTTCGCAAAACATCTTGAATCTGATCTTGACATAAGATTTAGCGACTAACTGATTCTGACTTCGTAATTGCGTATCTTTCTTAAGGATTTCAAAGTGAGTTCATGGAACAAATAAAATCATACCTGTTCAGCATTTCCATTGATCGCCAAGTTTGAGATAGCCCATGCAGCCTCTTTTTGTGTTAAGAACTCACTTTCAGCCAGATGGTGGATAATTAGCGGAACAAGACCATGGTCTATCACGGCCTGCACTTGACTTTGATTTCCTGCAGTAATATTAGATAGAAACCAAACAGCTTCCTTATTAATTTTGTCTCTCGGGTGATTCAACAAACATGCAAAATGACTTAGAGCTCCACAATCCAAAACAACTTGAGTTTGTTGGTCTGAACCTGTAACTATATTTCCAACGGCACGCAAGGCAGCAGTTTGTACCTTAAAACTTGAATGTGACAACAATGGGACCAAATGAGGCACTATCTCTGCATTTATGACCATTTCTATTTGATCGTTTCCACCATCAGTCAAGTAGGATATAGCCCAGACAGTGTCGACGAGAATCTGAAAATTTACAAAAGCGCAAGTAAATAAATGTTTAATTAAATTGATATTATGTAAGTTGTACCAATTTCTGATAGTAAAACCTACGGCATATACTAAATGATAGGATTCCGTAGTTTCCAGTCAATCACAGAATGTTAGAAACAAGTACCAACGCTCAATAAATATTTCCTGTATGATTAGCATGAGGAAGTACAGTCAGTCAATCAGTTACAACGTAGAACTTCGTACATGCGCATATCAGTTTGGGTTGCCATGCCACATTAGCAGAGACGCAACTGTCAGTTCAAATCCCATAGTGGTAGAGATAGTAGAAGTATTAGGGCTCGAAGATATTATTCAAGAGGCCTAATCTTATCCTTAACCGCTAACACTTGGATAGGTTCTGATGGCCTTACTGTGTATCACGTTAATCTGATGTCAGTTTGTTGCATAATGTACAAATGATCGGAAATCGATGACAAATAAAGAATAATTGTGATCAGGTAGATTCGTGAAATACTGAGATGTCTATAACTGAATAATAGACTTTATACTTCCTTAAAAGTCAAAATACAACAAACTAGCATCAGATTAACATGATAAACAGCCGGGGCATCAGAACCTATCCAACTCCACAAATTTGTCTCCCCGACATGAGCAAGGTGGGGTTATATCACCAGATACCACATATGGGTTATAAAGTTGTGCTCTAAATTGAATAATGAAGATTCATGAACCGTCCACTTTCCAAGTCATCCTTCACAGAAACAAAGAATCACTGCACGACCAATATATTTTATTTTCACACGGTCAACGGATGGAATAAAGTCACCACACATACTGCAAACGAATATTTCGGGACATTATGTCTTGTTGAGAGATGAATTTTTCTGAAGCGTGGATGGACTTACTGCTTATACTAGTAACTGTTGGACTTTTCGAGTGGATCGGGAGATTGATATTGAAGTAAACAAAAATGGGGAACTTGGTACATGGACGTTATCCCTAAAAAGATATACGAATTAGAGTAATAATACAAAATAAACAGAACTATAGGAAGTTATTTTAGTCCATACCACGGATAACCATGAACTTCTATATATGAAGATTAAAACAGTATAAACAAACCAGATGGCGTAACTTACACTATCATCAGTGTGCTTTATCAAATACAATAGAGCGGGAAGCAGTTCTCTGATAGCCGAGGCGGGAGGAGGGGGGTCCTTATTGCGACAAAGATTCACCATTACCCAGGTAACATTGCGTAAAAAGTTTAGCGGTATATTTGGTGTTAAGAGTTTTAATAGTGGTTTTATGACGTCCAATTTAATCACGTAATCCCTTAATACAGGACCGTCCCCAATTATGTTACCTAAGGCCCAAACAGCCTGTTCACAAACATTAGGGTGAGAAGAAGACAGCAACTTTAGAAAGCGTGGTACAGCTCCTGCTTGAACAACAGCGAGAGTTTGTCCAGATGTACCGGATGCAATATTTGTTAAAGCCCAGGCAGCTTCAAACTGAAGATTAGGACTAAAATAAAAGAGATATCAAGTTTTATTAACAGAAATGCTTGCAATTATTTGAAATTTCAGAATTTAGAGGTTTGCAATCTCACAGGTCAGTGAAGTCAAATTAATCTGAAGTGTTATAAGTGATTCACTAAGCAAACGTGGTATCCTGAACAAACAGTCAATCTACCGGATGTTCCAACCACTGTTTTGAAGACATTGATTGGGAAACCTGTTTATCTTTAATGATCATCTGGCGTAACGGTGAACTGCTTTGAGGCACCTTTTTGGTAGAATTTGGGGACCCCTTGTCAGGTCACAGTGAGCATCCAGTCCAAGAGCCATTACCTACATTACTACATTGAAATCCAACTAAGATGAAATGCAACGGAGTTGAAACAATACGGGGAATGATGATTAAAACTAGACAGTGAGATTACGATCCTGCAAAAAGGAATATTGTAAGTCAGTGTCTATGGGATGGAGAGTAAAGGGAGATTTAAGAAAATTTGAATCAGTGAAAGGATTTGAAAAGTGTAGAATTAGGAAGATGACGTTTGCGCCACTGCAAACGATTTCGGGCCGTCATTTAAAGTCTCTAACCACCTGCAGTAGTTTGGAATGGTTTCCAGATGAACAGGGATGATACACAGAGGACCGGAATCTGCAGCATTAGTGAAGCAAGATGATAAGGGTGCGAGTCAACAGTACAACCCCGCTCTTGGGTCTGAAGTTGATTCTTTCAGTCCTGTTTTCCAACCGACCTAACTGGTATGACAGGAAGAAAAAAACGTGCCCCAGCCAATTTAGTACGTTTAAGTAATTACGATAGGCAAGCCTGAAAACTGCGTCAATGTATCATTTCTGTCACTGGTTTCTGTATAATCTAATCACACACCAGCCAGTATTGGACATCCTGAAAGTAGTCAGGTATATGCAACAACCCGGCCGCCTAAGTTAATGAAGATTCACAACTTCAACTTGTGTCATAGTTAGTAACTGCGCTAACTCTAACTTCAGCGATACTCACTTCACTGTGCAGTAGTAGTGGTCTCTTAGTAGGTAAACGAACATCATCACATGTGACATGGTAACATATGCTACGGGTGTATTTAGTATGTGTAGAAATTTGGTCAGACAGAACCACACTGCTGCTACCTATAAGATAAATGAACTGGTCAACTAACGCTGTCAATCTGGATGACCCAAACCAGTCATAAAGCGCATCCTCGACATCCTTGGATTAAAAGATGTACCATTATATCAGTCTGGTGACAAGTGATGACTGCTTGAATCAGGTCACAAGCAGTTCTATCAATATATATTTCTGCTTTAGTATTTCCATACTTTTCGAATCCAACAGTCAGGGTGGTAACATGAGAGCAAAATGTGTTGACTTTGAGACCGACTTACGACACTCAATGTACCAAGATGGTGATGTTATGCAGGTGGGTTATCCACGTGAAAAGCCCAAGTATCACCTCGTATTAAAAGTCGGCAGAAAAATAATGAACAGTAAACCTACTTCCAGTCTCAATACTTTTCAGCCGACGTACACAAAAAAAGAAATCGAGGAGCAAGTGCTCCAAATAATGATGCGTAATTCAAAGTTGGATTGAGATTCAGAGGAACCAAATATACTGGACGAAATATTTAGCAAGCAAAGTAAACTGCAGAACCAAAACTTTCGTGACGTTATGAGCAAGTTTGTGTCCTTCAATTTAGCCCTTAGAGAAGTATGAGAGTTAATGAATCTTATGCAGTGTAAACAAACTTACCACCTAGATCAATAAATAAGTGGCCAACTATTCGAAACCGCAGTCAGAAATGACTAATACGCCTACCACCTTTTACGAAAGATAGGCTACGTTTAAACAGGTTTTTAAGTGCGACGATGTTTGTAAATTCATGAATAGTAGTAAAAGCCGACTCACTCTTCACTTGTCAGACAGGCGACCAACTTAGGGAGCATACCAGCATTTATAAGCTCGTCAATAGGGGGGTTTCGATCACTGGAAAGAAGCTTACGAGCAGACTGAACGACCAACAATCTGACGGCTGGGTCTTCATTTTCAGCATTTGCTACTATGGCCTCCAGATTTAACAAAGTTGATTTCCCAGTTCCGTCGATTTCTGTATCAACAGGTTCATTAGTTGTTTGTGGCCCATTAGTTCCAGCAGGAATGTTCCTCTTCTTTTGAAGTGTTTCCTCGCGTTTGTTCTTGCGAAGTTCTACCTGGCCTTCCTGGCGACGACGTCTCATCTCCTAAAGAATGAGCGAGATAAGGACTATTCAACTTACGTCTGCACTCTTTCCAGCATTCTTAAAGGACATAATACGGACCGCCGCTTGATCGCCCATTTCTGTTAACGCTAATGTTGTCCGACGAATACAAAACCGAAACTTCGCGAGTAGAGATTGAAACAAACCTCTTCAAAATTCAAGCTACAATCATCACAGAGATAGGGCTGTTTTTTTTCTGTTTTCTTGTGAAATAACAGAAGAATTATTAACTTGTAGATCTGAATTTGTATCGTTTTGAGGAGCAAGTAAGGGATAGTTTTTAGTAGCCTAGGCAAAGATAAATTTGTTGAAATTCAAACTGAATTTTATGTTGTCTTGCGAAATTAAAACATAGTTCTTGGTCTCGGTTGCAAAAGTTTATCGGTATATTGTCTTGAATTCCGCTTTTACCCCGTAGCCCTGCAACTTGGACAGATGAAGAATGTCAAAGAACTTGTTTGATCTGTTTGCTGTACGTGATCCAGCTGTGGGTCTGAATGGGATTTGTATGCGCTCAGTGAACACCTAATATTTCAAAGGTTTTGTACTTGATTGAGCAGACCAGATGTAATTGTTTTGAAACTGGCTGAAATGTACCAATATTCACCGATATGGAAGTGTCCTGGAGTGCATGAAAATTGTACAGAAAATGCTACTTGAAATAATCTAAATAACTTATGTGGATTGATAGGTTGTGTTCCATTTCAAGTGTATAAATCTATCATTCAAATGATAAACTAGTGTTTGTCAATTCGTTCGGAATAAATCGATGTTGAAACTCAGTGTTCACATATGATCATGAAGTGCCTTTCACACTCTTTCTGACCGCGGTAATCAAAGAACTTATCCGTCCAATCATGTACACGTACAACTACATCCTTTTCCGGTCGAAGAGCAGTTAAGCATCTACGGCTAGACAATCGAGTATATGGAATAGTAAGTAAATTATGTTTGTTTGTTTCCCAAAGACAACAGTATGAACCTTAAATGCTGAAAGTTCCTTTCATGAGGTTTGTCTGTACATTCGATGGTTATATTTTTCAGTCCGGGTTGTCAGCATATGTTAGTGTTAAACATGATGTTCGGTTACTGAGGCTCATGAAGTGGTACTTCATCCTCGTAGACTACTTCACCTCCTTATTGGTACATCCCTGACGAAATATTTCACCTTTTGTTGACCGGCATAAACATAGTACCTTATGGTTACTATCGAACTCATCCCTGTTCCTGGTCGTTTATCATCTAAAAGGTTACATAACATCAGGAAAGTCAAATTGTCTGGATAAATATAGTGGGATATTTAGAGATTCTGAAGTAGTAAATTGCATATAACTTCTGCATATATTGAAAATTTATTCGTGATGCCGAAAATACAAACATAGACGAGATTTGGATACCAGTAGTCGTGACAGGAGAAACACAAAGTGTTTAACTGACTATAAAATATTACTTTGAATACCCATATTTTTGGATATATTTATTTAATTCAAACTTTGAACTTGTTTATTTAAATCTCTGACTCCTTACTTCCAGGTTTTATCTTGTTTTGGTTTGATATTTGTTAAATTTAAATGTTCGTGGTGAAGTTCGTAATTCTTTCGATACGAACAATATATTTTGGATGATTACCTTCCACTTACGAATACATTTTCGGTACCCTAATCAGAACTGCGTTTGCTTGTTATTTCATTTGCATCTAGTGAACGCATCTACATGCTTGAAGAATGGGCTGGGACAAAATTGGGCATAACAGCTAGAAAATGTAGAGGATTCATGCTCGTTTTATAGTTGACTAAATAGATATAGGAATGATTATAATAAAATTTTATGAGTGATATAAGCCACGTTCAAAATCACGTACAGATTCTATTATTCAGAAAAGTAAAGCAGGAAATATAGCGCCTGCATAGAATAAGTTAATAAGCGACATCGAAATTGTATACTGATGTTTTTTCTGAAAACAGGTTATCGGATGACACTTAGCCACCTTCCATTCGTTTGTACAGCTCATTTTGCAAATAATTACCCATAAAATAATTGCGGAATACATAGTTATCATCATTAAATTGGCCTAGGTCCGAGCTACTCTACCTAAGTCATTTCCAATGTGCAGTTCTAATCAATGTTAACGTAACGAAGTTAACAGCAGCAAACTCGTTTTGAATATTTCTGTGTCAGTTGTTAGAACCTGAATCAGATAAACATTTTCATGAAATAGGATGGCCTGTCGAAAGTTCGGCAAATCCGAAGTTAAGGAGCCAGCATGAAAATGCAACGCATTTCGTGAAGATAAACCAGAAAACCAGCCAGTTAAAATTGATAATTATTAACAATAAACATAGCTTACCACCTCATTACAAGGACACAATCAGGAGAGTTTCCTTATTCTTACCTAACCCACACTTTGCCCGAAGCCCTTCCATGGTTAGTGATAGTTCCACGTCTGGATAAAAGAAGAGGTCTGTGTATCCGTTTAGTGGCCCCATCCCATAGACCAGGAGGATCATCCAGATCGCTGAAGAAATGGGAAGATGCAACCTGGCAGTGCTCGGAATAAGTAAAACCAATATGACATAAGCTTCTGGAGAGGTGATGTTGTTATCTGGTTATGAAAAAGGAAATGCCTCATTCACAAGGAGTTGCATTGACTCTCTCCAAAAGATGCGCTAAAAGCACTTAAGTATAGTAATCTCATGCATCAGGGATCACCGAAGCACCCTTCAAACAAGAAAGGAAGGAATTACAGTGGGCGTCTTCACTTATGATGCAAACAAAGATGAAAAGGATCAGTTTCATGAGAGGCTTCAGTCAATGGTAGAGAAAAGCCCAGTAGTGGACCTGGCCGTTTTCGACCTAAACCCCAAGTTTTGAAAGGATAATACTGGATATGAAGATACCATAGGACAACATGAACTTGGAAATAGGAATGAAAATTATAGGTTATTCACAAATCCATTTAACTCCAAGTAAATCATCTGCAGTTTTCATACTTGCTAAGATCTTCTTTCTCGGGAATCTTGATGAAATACCCTTCTTTTCAGTCTGCTAGTACTTTTTTTAATTTTAATAATTTATTCTCAAATCAAAAGATTTTACGAGAGGCATGCCAGTTTACAGGCAAGATCAAAAGGTTAAGATTGGCAACATGTCCTTTAAAACGGTGTGCAGTTACTGAAATATTTCACAAGATACATTGGCTCCATTTAGATAGCTAAAAGTTTTCACATAAAATTAAACATAAGTTTGCAAACTCCACAACGGAAGACACGAATAATTGGCTCGAGTTACGACAGTCGCGTTACGATGAGCTTCTTAATGACTGTGAAACAATGCAAGGTAGATCCAGGTCTGTATATAACAAGAGTTGATGAGGTAAATGCGCCAAGAACTGGTTGGTAAATTTACAGACTCCTGGGTAAAGTAACCAAGTCTTCGGCAAATATCCAGACTCAGACATAATTATTGGAATAAGGTGCTGAAAAAAGAGAAATAAAGAGAAAGGGGAGAGGAGCAGAACAGAAAATATTCTTGTTTAAAGACGAACGATGACTCAGCTCATACGTTTTTGGATAAAAGAAAGGTATGTTTACTCAGACATTTTTATTAGAACACTAACTCTATACCTGCATTTATGTAGATTAATGAAGACAATTCAGTAGTAAGATAACGAATGGACATTTAATCTTATGAATAAAGGAAATTCAACATAACCATATTGTTAGCAACAATGTTGATTTACAGAATATAATAATGAGGCTCAGTGATCTTATGCTTTTGTTTTATATTATTTATTCTTTCTAACTCTATGGCTCAAGTAGTTATGAATGAGCCCTTTTTCTGTATAATTGTCCACATCTGCTCGTAATAGGATTTCTTGGTAGGAAGTTAAAACCAGTGCAAGGTTACGGACATGAGTCATAGACGAGGTTGACTAGGAAAAGTAACATCAATATTACTGATTTGTTACATCCTGTAAGGAGCCGCAAGCAAACAAATATTCTGTCACACAGGCATGGACATATTGAAGTTATCGCCCCACCGTCAAGAATGCTGGTTAGATACACCGCCCTCCCTCCTTTTGTGATGTCAGCCTCTCTTACATCTAATGGTTGATTGTAAATAATGTTTTCTAGTCTACTATCTATTTTTTGTACGCCTGATCGGAATTCACTTTCTCTGCTAGCTCCACATTATAAGCAATCCAGACAACTTTGCCTTCTGTACGAAAGACAAAATATCTACTTAGCATGCCAGACTAAGTTTCAGTAAACTAATGGTATAAAATGTAAGATATGTATCAGTTAATAGGTAGTTTGGAGATAGGAAGCGTATCGGGCTACAGAAATGTCTTCATTTCTCCCGTAACAATTGGAATTTAGATTTAGTGAGAAGTCACGGATAGCACCTTAAAGGCTAAACCTATTACTCTTAGTAGGAGCTGAGGGATTCGTCTATCATTTCGTGATACCGTTATGGATGGTAATGCGGGCATAATATGTTCATAGTCTGTAATTAGTTTCTAAGGTTGATCATCGTCTCTCGGTGTTTCGCAATGGCAAGAACCAAGCAGACTGCTCGTAAATCAACCGGTGGTAAAGCCCCACGCAAGCAACTGGCTACCAAGGCTGCACGCAAAAGCGCACCAGCAACCGGTGGCGTGAAGAAGCCCCGCAGATATAGGCATGGAACTGTTGCCTTACGGAAGATACGTCGTTACCAGAAGAGTACTGAGCAAGCTTCCTTTCCAACATTTGGTCCGCGAAATCGCCTAAGACTTTAAAACTGACCTTCGTTTCCAGAGTTTAGCCGTCTCAGCGCTTCAACAGGCCAATGAAGCATACTTAGTTGGTTTGTTCGAGGACACTAACTTCTGTGCCATCCATGCTAAGCGTGTTATGATTATACCGAAAGATATCCAACTTGCTCGACGCATTCGAGGTGAACGAGCCTAGATAAGTGTCAATGTAGAGGAACCCAGAACCCAGAACTTCGTTCCAGCTCCCTGTCCTTCCTATTTCCAAACTACCCATTAACTGACTCATCTTACAAATTATACCATTCGTTTACTTAAAATCAGTGTGATATGCTATGTGGATATATTATCTGGCAAAGTTGTCTGGATTGCTTGTAATGTTGGAGCTAGTAGAGAATGTTAATTCCGATAAGGTGTACAAAAAAAAATTTGAGAGTAGACTAGAGACCATTATTTACAATTAACCATTAAACGTAAGAGAGCCTAACATCACAAAAGGAGGGAGGGTGGTGTATCTGACCAGCATTCATGACGGTGGGTTGATAACCTCAATCTACCCATGTCTGTGTGGCAGAAC